CAAGACAAGTGACACTTACAATGGGGACGCCTAAGGGTAGCAAGGTCAGATCTCATCAGGACTCTACAACGTGCTTCTGAGGAAGGCCCTGGGCAAATCTGAACATAGTCTAACCTTTCTCTGTCTCACCTAGATACCTCCACCTGAAATACTTTCGACACTGTCCCCTCCTTCTCAGCTGTAGATGCATCCTCACAGGGACTAAACTTCTATGCAAATACAGTGAAAGAACTGGAATAAAGGCAAAGTTTAACCAGACTGTCTTAGAAATTGTCACTTGCCTCTTTGAGGTTGGTATTAGCCAGATTCCAAGAGCCCCACAATGTTAGAGGTAGAAAGGACACTTAAGATCACTAATTTCATCTCATACGGTATAAGCCAAAGCTGAGGACGATTTTTTTAAAGTTGAGAGAATCATCTTGCCAAGGATGACCTGAGACTGCTACACACTTCAGTTTCGGTCCAGCTCTTTTTCCATTGCATCTGTGCCTAACAGCAGGTAAACAGAAAGCATGTTGATTTTATCCATTTTAACATACTAATCTTCCAGATAAAGAAGGCAGGTAAGTGCTTGCATAATAGAATCTTATTATTGAAAGCTTTACATCAGGGGTTCAATTCACCCTCTGTTCAAGGTGGTGCATGTAAATCTTCTGCTAATGCATAAAAAGTAAAAGAAATTTTAAGTGTCTCCAGTGTTGCCTACCCTGGAGGTTCTCTGCCCAACTCCTCTGAGAACTAGAACATATTCCCCTCATTCACTGTCACTGACCATGCAGGGATTCTCAGTGGTGACATTATGGAAGGACACCGCCCCCCCTCCCCCCCAACACACACATCCACACATACTTAGAAAGATCTATCCAGCAAGCAAAGTTTGAAAAAGCTCCCCAAGCACCACCCCAGCCCTGGTCTCCACCCAGTGGAAAAATCACTGATCCAAAAAACTGGTTTTTATACAATGAACAAGTATGTATGGAGTATCTACTTTGTGCTAGGCACAGAGTATAAAATGGTGAGCAAAAATTTAATACTGCATATTCACTTTGAGTTTTATTACTTAGAGGAAGCTCTCTTTATACACCCAAGTGCCTGACTTGGTCAAGGACCCGCCCCTGAGTTTGCTAGTTCCTTAATCTCTTTGAGGAATCTGTACATGTACATACACCATACGATGGAAAAGTCCCTCTTTGACGTTACCCCAACTCCAGTGCTCTCTAGTTCCTTCCCACCTTAATTTTTCTCCTTAACATTATCACTGTCTAAACACAATTTGCTTATTATTTGTCTTCCCCAACAGAATAAGCCCCCAGGAGGCCAAGAATTTTTCCTGTCTTTTTTTTTCACTGCTGTGTACCCAGTACCTAGAACACATAGTAAATACTTAATATTTGTCGATTAAATGCCAACACTTCTACACCTGCCAATTCTATTCGATACATCCTATTTCCCATTAAGTTCTCCCCAACATTTCCTTCAGTCATTCTCAAGCCCCATATATTGTCCCCAGCTTCTTAGGATTTTTCCTGCCAGCTACATCTAGGCAGAGTATAGCTAGGCTGAGTCCCATGATTAGCTTGTAAGTGGTAATATTTATCTTCCCCACACTCTTTTCTACTGTACTTGCTATGCTGACACTTAACCCTATATTACTCCCACCATCCAAATTATCTTACTCTTTGTCCAGTCCAGAGCATTCCAAGATATCTTAGATTCATGCTGGACTGTACCGATAACAATTTATAGTAGTACTCAATGCACAAAATCGGTGGCATACAGAAGAAAGAGAATGGGATTAAGAATTAGAGCTGGGTTTGAAAACTGAGTAAGATGTGCACTATGATCTGGTGTCTTTGGCTGAGCCAGCAACATTTCTGAGCCTGTTTTCTTATCTGCAAAATGGGAGTAATAGTCCCTACGTCATATCTTATCTAAATCTTTCTCTCTCCCATATCCTTAAGGAAGAATAACAAACATAAAGCAGGAGTGTGATATCTATTAAATGACTTTTTTTTTAAATAAAAGAGTGTTCTTGGTGGATGCTTTTTTATTTTAATCAAAATTGCAAGAGTCAGGCTGCCACCTGGCAGACTGGTCATCTTGGTCGATTAAATGCCAACACTTCTACACCTGCCAATTCTATTCGATACATCCTATTTCCCATTAAGTTCTCCCCAACATTTCCTTCAGTCATTCTCAAGCCCCATATATTGTCCCCAGCTTCTTAGGATTTTTCCTGCCAGCTACATCTAGGCAGAGTATAGCTAGGCTGAGTCCCATGATTAGCTTGTAAGTGGTAATATTTATCTTCCCCACACTCTTTTCTACTGTACTTGCTATGCTGACACTTAACCCTATATTACTCCCACCATCCAAATTATCTTACTCTTTGTCCAGTCCAGAGCATTCCAAGATATCTTAGATTCATGCTGGACTGTACCGATAACAATTTATAGTAGTACTCAATGCACAAAATCGGTGGCATACAGAAGAAAGAGAATGGGATTAAGAATTAGAGCTGGGTTTGAAAACTGAGTAAGATGTGCACTATGATCTGGTGTCTTTGGCTGAGCCAGCAACATTTCTGAGCCTGTTTTCTTATCTGCAAAATGGGAGTAATAGTCCCTACGTCATATCTTATCTAAATCTTTCTCTCTCCCATATCCTTAAGGAAGAATAACAAACATAAAGCAGGAGTGTGATATCTATTAAATGACTTTTTTTTTAAATAAAAGAGTGTTCTTGGTGGATGCTTTTTTATTTTAATCAAAATTGCAAGAGTCAGGCTGCCACCTGGCAGACTGGTCATCTTGGCTATCTTGATTCATTTGAATTTCCCAAGCAGTCAGTGTGGCTGCAGCACACAGAGCAAGGGTAGGTAGACAGTGCAAACCAAACTGACCAGTTCTGCCATCCAAAGCATGGTTGTTCGTCATATACCAGTGGATATGGCCTCTGGCCCTTAGGAATAGGAACCATTCTTTTGACAGTCCCCCAGGACATGGCCCTGGTTTGACTGATTTTGTTTAATAAATAAATTAATTCCTACTTCTGGAGTAGCTTCAATTTTTAAACAGAAAGCCATCTATTGACAGTCACTGATACACAGGATTTTATTGTTTGATATTAAACAATTAAGAGTTATTGTTTTTTTTCCCCTACAAGTACACTATACATGAAAATAAATATAATCTAGAACACAGCCACTAGGAATGGAGAGAGGAGATTCTATATCCACTCTGTGCCTTAAAGGGATAGTTTTACTTTAACAAATCCACAGTGCAGACTATAACTCTTTCATGGAAATAAAGCTCTCCCTTGGCAAAATGTACATAATAGTCTGTGAACGCTTCTCAAGGTGAGTTTGATTATGTAAACACATTTTAAGAAATTTCAAAAATTCAGTCTTTGATCTAACAGTGATCTCGTAAACTTCAGAAATTTAAAATGACTTTGAAATTGCTACTTTCAACAAAGTCTCTGAAGGTACACAAAAAAGTAAATGCTGAAATAAATCTAGATACTTACAAACATATTGTATCATTTGTTCAACCCAGCAAATAAAAAATAGTAAAATATGAAACCATAGTTGTCTGAGTGTGAGGCTAACAATCTGGTTTAGAATCAGGCAGAAGTTTTCCCTTCTGTAACTAGCGAAATCAAACGCATTCAGAAAAACAAAATAAGGGAGGGCAATGCCAAGCTGAGAAGCAAAAGAAAATTATAAATCCTCAGGTAATTTTGAAATGAAATGGGTTTGTAGCTGGAAGATACATTAGTAAGAATAATTCAAAAGATATCATTAGAGCCATACTTCAGAAGACGTTTCATGAGAAAAGATTACAATATGAAAATCTTCAAACTAAGTATTAATCATAAAAGGTAAACATGACAAGGCTGGATGGTAAGACCATCTCTCACTGGAAAGAGCAGCCAGTACACCCTGCAGACTAAAAAGCACTCAGAGTGAGGCAGTTGGAAAATGCTATTAGATTATTTGGGTTGAGGGGCTACCCCAGAAGTAGAATGTGTCTCAATGTCACATCCCTCTTCTTACAACTACTGCAAGTTTCATCAGAATAGAGCAGAGCCCTAGGAAACATATTCAATCACAGACACTTTTTGCTAAAACTTCAATCGAACTTTCAAACCAATTTAATACATCAGAACTTTCCCATGGTTCCCCCAAACAGTGCAATAAACTGAGAAGTTGGAAGTTCACTTTAGAAAAATATTGATGTATATTTTTATGTAATCTACCCTATGGAATATATCAACAAGCCACTTCTCAGTTTTCATTAGGCTATATTTTTAAAAATCAGAGTTTAATGATAATTCTCCTTTTGCCTCTGGTATAGGCTTTTAGGTTTTGAAAATGTAACTAAAATGCACAGAGTCACATAGCAATGCATATTGCAAATATGTATAAATACACCTCTGTAGATCCCATAATAAAAGCTCTGGGGGAAAAAAATGGTGGCGCAAGTATTCATCTTTCCCAAATTGCAATTTCAAGATGTTATACAATTATGAAACAAAGGCAAGGTGAAGGGTGAGCAACAACAGAAAGGACCGCAGAAGGGAAGGCAGTGCTCAGCAGGATAGAGCCTGCTCTGTCTAGCTGGCCCAGCTTTCCCCAGCACCTTTCTGGTACCAGTTCTGGGCTTTTCCTCTAATACAATGCCCATCATCTCTCAGAGAAGTGAATCTCCTTAAAGGAAAACCTTAAAGGAAAAACATCCAGAGGTAACGTGCAGAACCGTAAATGAAAAATGTCCACGTCTAGCAGGCAGACATGCAAAGGAAAACCAGCTGTCAGTTTCAGAGGCTCCTAGCTGTAACAGGGTTTCAGGTTTCTCTTTGCCTCTGTCTCTGTCTCTCTCACCGTGTCTCCCTTAATAATATCAGCTTTCTAATCACCTCAAACCACAAATAACATTCTCCATCTGTCCTTGTGAAATAAATGCTGATGAAACAGAAAAATAGAGTGCGATACTCACAACAATGAAGAATTCCTACACATGCCGTTCCATTTTCTTGCTTTAAAAGATGGAAGGTTAATTTTAAAAGGCTTGCAGAATTAGGAAAATAAGGGAGAGGTGATTCCACCCACACAATCCTCCAGCCCACCGCAAAGGAGCCCAAAGGCTTGCTGACGTCACAGATTCATGAATGGATGTAAATTGGGCTGGCTGAGGATTCCGCACAGACCTCGCAGTGGTGTGTGCCTTGAAAAAGAAAGGGAGGGCTCAGAGCAGGCCCAGCCAATAGGCTGCACGCAGTCATGGCCTGCCTTCTTTTAGAAGGAATCTGGTCACAGAATAAACAGAGCCCGCCAATCAGGTGTCTGCCACTGCCTCAAGACAGACTAGCAGCTTGAGGAGTGTGTGTGTGTGTGTGTGTGTGTGTGTGTGTGTGTGTGTGTGTGTGGTCATGAAAACATTATTATTGCTATTGAATGAGGGAATCAAAATAGAATTTTGTTGGAATTAATGCTGACAAAAATGCATATAGAAGAAATCGCAGTCTTTATTCATTAGAGCTTTTTTCTTTAACCCTTTTTTTGCAGTTCAGTAATGTGCCTGATCTGATGTGATAAAAACAAAGTCAGGGAAATCGTTTCAAAACTGGTGGCCAGTAGACATACATGCCCTGCAAACCAAGACTCATAAAAGCAAAATAGTAGTGAAATGATGGGAAAAATAACCTTGATTAAGGAATATAAATATGTGAGTCAATATTACATAAATGTATTATTTTGTAGAACAGTATCTGCTGACCTTGGTGATGTATCAGAAGTGGGTGTGAAAGAGCAATTTACTACTACATTTAAATAAGGTAGAACAACTCCTAACTGGTTTATTAAACTTCTGATATTCAATTAAGACACAGCTCCAAAAGAGCCCTTAATGATTCTTAGGGCAAATTTTGCTTTTAGTAAGATGCCTTATTATTAACAGCAAAAACAGCTAAGTTAAATTCACTCAAAGAGCTCGTGACATTTAAAATGTTTTTCTAATTAAAAAAATTTTAACAGCTTTACTGAGGTATGATTGATATACAAAAAACAACACATATTTGATGTGTACAAATTGATGAGCTTGGAGGTATGCAAACACCAGTGATACCATCACTACAGTCAAGGTAATAGATACAGCTGACATCTCCCACTTTCCTTGTGTTCCTTTGTGTGTGTGTGTGTGTGTGTGTGTGTGTGTGTGTGTGTGTTAAGTACATTTTACATGAAATCTACCCTCTTAGCAAATTTTGAAGTGTATAATATGGTATTGTTAACTATAGGCACTATTTTGTACATACACAAGTGGGACTACATCAAAATAAAAAGCTTCAATCAACAGAATGTAAAGGCAACCTACAAAATAGGAGAAAATATTTGAAAACCATATATCTGATAAAAGGTTAATTTCCAAAAAAGATGTAAGAACCTCATACAACTTAAGAGCAAATATATAAATAACTTGTGACATTTCTTTACTCTTTATTTAAAAAGTTTTCAAAGTCACACAAAAGTGGACATTAGTATAATTTGTTGTCCCCGTACTCCATCATGCCATTTCACAATTACCAGTACTTTAGGAAATGGCCTCAAATCCTTAAAACTGGAACAATATTATTAATAAAAGGCCTTGGTTATGAGGTCTCCAGTGACCAAAAGCATTCCTAACAGACATCTACTCTATCTCTCAATCAGATTATTTGTATAGCTGAGAGAAGGAAAGCGGTTGCTGGTTACTATGTGGTTATGGAAGGCTCAAACCTGACAATAGTAAGTACTGCAAGCTGGTTAGCTCATTTGGAAAAAAAAAATTCCAGGACTACTTTACACACAGCAAAGATGTTCAGTGTACTGTTCTATATACTCAAGAAATAGAGTATCACTGGCAAACAACATATTCAACAAATTTCTCTAACAGAACTTATGGTGAAATATCACTATAGAAATGACAGACCAAAGAAGTGAAGTTTTCCCATGTAAGACAAGAGTGCTAAGACCAGTGCAGTACTGGTATACTCCTAGTGGGTCTGAGTGTACCACATTGGCTTTTATCAGTATGTCCATTATTTTAGAACACATAAGTAGAAAGAAGACGAAGGATAGACATCTGTTTCTTTCAGCAGCAATCAAAGTCAACCAGCACATACTAAAAGAATCAGATTTATAAAAAGTATTTTTTTTCCAAAATAATACAGACTAACTACTAGAAGGAGGCAAACTCTCTGTGGAACATGTCAGTAAGATAGCCAAATCTGTTACAGAAGTTAATGTGTTTGCTAGAAGGTTTGACAGTAACATCGTTATTCAGTAAGTCCACCAGGGATCAGGGTATTTTCTGATGTCATTCAACAGAACAGTCTGTAAATGGTTCTAAATTCAGTCATCAAAGATATTGGCTCAATAAGCAACCTGGCAAATAAAAACTAGCTGGCTCTATGGACTTGGCACTTTAATAAGTGGAACTTGGTTTGAATTAGCATGCTTCTCTGTACCACAGTGATATCAACTATGTCAACAAAAATTTCTCCATGTCAAATATCATGGAAATCACTGGGAAGGTAAGTTGTCACCCCAAATTACAGAAACGATAGAGGTCCTTCTTGGAGGAAGCCATTGTTGTTTTCAGAAAAGAAGAAAGGAAGGGAGAGGCACGTGAAAATGTATATTCTAGAGCAGCTCTCCTGAGAACTTCCTGCCGTGATGGAAATATGCTACATTTGCATTAATATAGTAGCCACCTGTGGCCACTCAGCATTTGAAATATAGTTAGTGCGATTGAGCAACTGAATTTTAATCTTTATTTTATTTTAGTTAGTTTAAAATTTTAAATAGTTATATGTGGCTACTATATAGGACACTGCAACTCTAGACATGCTAAGCCGAATTCCATTATCACAAGTAATTTTTATTTCCGCATGTGGGCATGGAAAGTGTTGAGGACTACAAACCCATTATCAAGGTGAGTAAGGTCTTTTAAGAATCAAATGAACTGCAAATTTTCAATAAGGACTGGCAGATAACTTGAGTCTTGTTTCCTAAGAAGATATTCAAATCTCATAATCAGAAAAAAATCTAAGAGTAGAAGTTAAGGTACAAATTATTCTGCTATAAAAATATGAAATATTCTAGGATTTTTTCTTTAGGAAAATTGTGTTTTTTAAAGAAAAATAACTCTTTTAAGCCAGAGTCTAAGAGAAATCCAAAGTATTATGACCTAGTAGCAATTTTTTGTCAGAAATACCAGGAAAAATATGAGGACTTCAGTGCTAATGCATGAAGATTAAGATTTCCTTTACAGATACCAAAGCATAGTAGTTAAAAGTTAGTAAAGAGACCTGGGTTTAAATCCAGACTCTGTCACTTATTAGTTATATAAATTCAGGTAAATCTCAGTTCCAGTTTTCTCATCATTAAAATGGGGATAATAATAGTCTTTGTCAAATACGTGAAAGTTAAATAAAATAATACATGTAGACTTTAGCACAGTACCTGCATATAGAAAATAAAGAGTAAATGATACGGTAGCTATTTTTGTATTATAGTTGTCATTCAAATACCATGGGCCCTTCTACTCTCTGAACAAGGGAATTTCAACAACTGTGCAAATCCAGGAATAAAAACTATAGAAGAAAATACAATATCTTTATTTTGCTTATAATAAAGCTTGAACAGATCTTTGAAGAAAATTTTTAAAGTTTGTATTGGTGACATGTCTTCCAAAGAAACTCTCATCTAATCATTTTCCTCGAAGGTTGGGGTATGCTCTCTGAGGTTCTGAAGATAAGTGGGAAAAAACCCTCAGGAAATTAAGTAGGTGACTAAAAACTTTCTTCATAAAAAAAAAGCTAAATTTTCCTATACAAAGATGTAGTTGTACACAATGACATGAACTAATATGGAAAACAATCTCTCTACTAGAGATTGTACTCTAAAGGTACACATAAGTATGGCAAACTTTGAAGAATATTATGAATTAAGTGGATTTGAAGTCCTTAATATTTTTTATCAAAGGACAATAAAACATCTAGTCAGCTGGAGATGAGCAACTGCCTAGAGATTTTATATGCTGTTTAGAATAAATCTTAACAGCTTAATGAAGTTTTAATGTATTCTCCCAGTCAAATGGGTGCATATAAACAAGGGATGTAAGAATTCTTCTCTGATCAATAATAAATATACACTGGAAGAAATCAAAAGCAAATGGATTTCTCAATTAATAAAATATTTAACTTCCCTGAAATACACCCTTGCATAATAGACAAATTCTGGCAAGGTACCAGAAACAAACCTTTGTGGGACTAAAAATTTTATCTTCAGTTTATAAGGGCATTTTACATATTAAAAAAGTAAAAGAAAACTTCATACATTACCCTTCCACATAGAATTCGTACTACTTTTTAAGAGGCCATGTTAAAAAAAACTTAACCATTTAACTTCTGTTCTTCTGATCCTGTTTTAGTTTCCCCTTTTCTTTAGGTAGATACAAGCTGGCATTTCTACTTTAGCCTCAGAACAAACAACAGAACTGAAGATCAAACACAGGAAGAGTGAATATCTGCCTTTCTTTTTTTTTTTCCTTTTTAAGTCTGCTCCTGAATCTTCTCCTTTGAGGAAGATATCCGTCCACGACTTACAGCACAGATGGTTCAGATGGAGGGAACCCTCCTGAAGCTAGAGCAGCAAGAATGGTACGAGGCTGGCCGACTCACCTGGAAAGACATGCCTTCTGTGCTAAAGTATCTTCTGTATATAATTGTGCTCAGTTAGAGTTTCATATGTCTAAATTCCAGAAATAATAACTGGAAACAATCTCTTCCTAGACATCCTTTGAAAAGAGTCTTCTACTTCACTTTACAACTGCAAAATACTTCAACATAAGGGAGATATCAGTCCCCTTTTATATGTTAGAAAATTAAGGTTCAGAAAAATCGGCTCATCTCATCTTGCTGTATCTCAACTCTATAATCTACTGACTATACTTTGAAATTCCATCTACTACTCCTTGCCCCTCCCCTACTAAAGACCTGCCAATGACCGTCCAACGACTAAAAATTAAAAGTGAATAACAAAAGTGACAGTGCAAAGATGAAAAATCCAGTTCTTGGTACCAGGGAACTCTGGTGAGAATAACTACACAAGATGGTGAAAGTGTTAAATTAGTGTGGTAAGCAGGAATGGTTTACTTGAGGTTGGT